CAGAGAAGTTTGAGGTACTTTTGCTGGCACTGTAACAAACCTGGGCCAAGAAAGCTCAATGCTGGACAGTTTAACATAGGGAAGATGCCACGGCAGGAAAGGCTGCTACCCAGAAAGGTTGTTGGAACTGTGGAGAGCAAGGACATATGAAGAACCAGTGTAAGAAGAATGCTATAATAAGTCAGCTTCGGGGGAACCAGTAGTGGTTTGTTTTGAGGGACGCCCACCAACCCCCATTGTGAAAGTCCCAACAGCTAAGTGTAAAATGGCAAGTGCACATGGTGTCTACGTGACCGGAAAGCTGGGTGGCCAAAGGTGAAACTTTGTCATAGATTCTGTGTCTCAGCAAACCCTTGTGAATATCGAGGTGCTGGATCACAAATGAGTACCAGAAGCTGTACAGAAGCTCTGTGGTAAGGCAGGACATTATGCAAGGTTGTGGGGACTAGTGTGAGTAACTATTGAGCTCATGGGCATAAAGGACAGACACAAAATATACTTGGCTGACATTGAAGACCAATGCATATTAGGATTGGACTATTTACTACCGAGGAAGTGTGTAGTTAACTTCGATAAAATGATGATTGGAAACAACAAAGGCCAAATTCTGGTAAGTGTCAAAAGAGAGGTTGAACTAACCAGGTGCCATCAAGCTGAAGGCAAGGTGACTGAAAGAGTTGATGATGGTGAAGTGGAACCAAATATAGATATCAAAGCAGAGCAGGAGAAAGACCAAGATTTGAAGCCAATAATTGATTTTCTAAAAGCAAGTGTTTTGCGCCCTGCTTGGGAGAAGGTGTCTAGCTTAAGCCCTATGACAAAGAACTATTAGGAACAATGGAACCAGTTGAAGCTTGAAGATGGTATTCTTCTACGGAGATTGGAAACTGCAGATGGGAAAGTGACGACCTGGCAAACGGTTATACCGAGAAAGTTACGGGAAGTTCTGCTGCGTCAATCCCATGATAGTTTAATGGGAGGACATCTCAGAGTTAAGAAGACATTGAGTCACCTACGACAGAGATTTTACTGGATAGGTATGAGGCAAGATGTGGAAGAATGGTGCAGGACCTGTAGTACACGTTGTGCTAAAAGGGGACCCAAGCATAAGGGACGTGCTCCAATGAAGTTATATCAAGTTGGTGCACCAATGGAAAGAGTAGCTGTTGACATTGCTGGTCCTCTGCCTCAAACTCGTGCTGGAAACAAGTACATCTGTGTGGTGATGGATTATTTCACCAAGTGGCCTGAGGCATATGCAACACTAAATCAGGAAGCTACAACTGTAGCTTCAGCTATTAGTGATTTCTTATTCAGATTTGGTATGCCATATGAACTGCATTCAGATCAAGGCCGTAACTTTGAATCAGCTGTGTTCCATGAATGCTGCAAGTTGTTTGGCGTACGAAAGACCAGGACAAGGCCACTCCACCCACAGTCCGATGGGATGGTAGAAAAGTAC